ACACAGATAAAGATATCCACGAATACCTGACGGTGGTTCTTTAGTCGTAGCGTATGACGTAACAGCTGATGTGGTCCTTGGAACAAAACTCGCTGYATAAAACAAATAATTTGGCCTTAAAAACCTCATTAACGTTACAAGAAATAAATATGGTGCTTGTATATTCTTGAAAAGAGAACCGAGGCACAAAGATTATAAATCACGGTACAATTACATCTAGTCTAACAACGAAAGCTGCGTACGACTATCCTTGGAAGATGAGAAAAGACTGGTGACGAGGCCAGCCATTCATACTTTGAATTCATCGCAAATACTAGTCGAGCTCATGCATGATTGAATCCCATTTCAATCGACAAGAGAGACCAACATTGCACTCAGTCCTTGGTAGGAAATGCTAACCTAAATAATTGACCCATAATGCCTTTCGGGGGAATACTGTGAATTCAGCTTGTTGGAAATCGGGTCAATAGAACCGTGTTGCATGGAAATCGAAGGTATTACTACCCTGCAGAATGTACACAGTACGATATACCATAACAACGAAATGTCCTTCTTATAGACCTGTTTACACTAGCGATTTTTGCTGCGATTTTTGCTGCGATTTTTTTGCGATTTTGTCCATAATATATAATGGTGAAGAATTTACTTGTAAAGTTCTTTTCAGGATACTTTTGAAGGATAAGACAAAAGGTTTCATATTTCCGAAAAATGCCACAAAAATCGCCAGTGTAAACAGGGCTTATGTCTTCCAGTAATTCACGTCTTAACACATAATTACTCTACGGTACGTTATTTTACGGCACGACACGGTGATACGGCACGTATAGAGGCTTTGCACTATCATGTGATGGCAGCCTTGACAGGAGGCATAACAATAGAGTCTTTTTACCCTGGGAAACTGAATTATTTCTTGTGTAAATCAGATTCAATTGTTCCTGCCTCCTGTCATGGCTGCCATCACGTGATGTTGCAGGTTCATCGCATCGTTTCCCATTTGACGAGAGAGAAAAAGTCGTTTTTTTAAGGAAGAAAATTAATTAGTCGAATGGCAAGGGCTGATAATCTAGGTGGTAAGTCGAATTTTTCTATGGAATTTTTTGCACAACTGGCCTCGTTTTAGAGCTTACTAAAACCAGTCTCCATCCCCTCTTACCAATACATAAATACGTAAGTGAATATAAATATCCAAATAAGAAAAAAATGTTATAGAGTTATTTAAAAAAAAACTACGTGCAATTTTTAACATTCCTTTTTAAGTGTTAATTTAATAAAAAAGTAAACTTTGGAGGTTACTTCATTAGTCAAATTTGTTGAACTGAGATGCTGGTCAGGTAAATGAATATCAAATAGTTAGATTTTGATTAATTTATCTCTTATAGCTTGGCTAGAAGGTGGAATATAGACCCCTTGCATGTGACGTCAAAGCAGCTCAATTTGGAGGACAAAACAAAAGAAATCCAATCTCCTGAGAATTGGAAACCTATTGTTATCCACCAAATTAAGCTGTATTCCGACGTGCTGCAAGGGGTCTATTCCAGGCCCTTGACAGCTTGTGCTCACGGAACGCTGGGATATTCAACTGTATCCCATAGTGAATTCGGCTAGTCACGACTTCACAGCTGCAGGGAGCTTTATTAAAAATATCAGCATTAATGTGCTTAATTATTAATTCAATATCAAGACTGTATTAAATTTGTCAGAATAAAATCGTTTTTTGCAGTGATGATGCAAAAGCATAAGTTATGTTGAGAATGTTAATGATTAATGACGTCATACGCTATGATTCTCGTAAATATTCACGTCTCATAGTCAACTTTCTACCTGACAGCACATCAAGTATTAGTATGATTTTAAAAGTGCCTGCCTGTGCGGACGGCTTTTGTGCTAGGTAGAAATACCTGTTGATTGACTTTTGTCATCTGTTGACGAACTCATCCTCTGTGTTGTTGTTGCTGGTGTTGTTGTTGTTGGTAGTGTTGTAGTTGTTGGAAGTGGTGATGTCGAAATTACGTGATTAAGAACAACTAAATCAATAGTAATGATGATATAGTAAATGAAAAGAACGAAAATCAAAACATAAAAAATCTCGATGCATTCAAGAATTTGTCACTCTTCTATTTCTTTCTTATTTTAAAAATCTAAAAAGAAAAACATTTACCGAAATATGAATTTTCTTATTACGGCTGAATTTAAAACGATTTTAATGGCCTTTTTTATTTTTTTAAAATGACATGCATAGTATAAGATTATATTAAAAAAACACAAAAATAACAAAAAATAAACGAAAAACAACAACAACAACAACAACAACAAAAAAACAAACAACAAAAAACAACAACAACAAAAAACAAAACAAAACAAAAAAAACAAAAAACAAAAAAACAAAAAACAAATAAACGAAAAACAAATAAACGAAAAACTTAGATGGTCTTTGACTTCTTTTAGAAACATGAATCCATATATCGACTTGTTTTAAATTTTAATTTTACATCACTTCGATGATTTATAAAGCAGTTTATTCAATAAACAAAATGTTTAGGTGTGTTTTATTTTCCTAAGCACCTGTTGACGATGATATCAGTTTGATGGTAGATATCGGTGTTGTTGTAGATAACAGTATAGTAGCCGAGTATATGGATGTAGTGATCACAGGTGTAGATAATACTTTAGGTATTGATGTTTGTATATTTAGTACGTTGGAAGATGTAGGTACGATGGAGGTTAAAGCTGAACTCGACGTTATTGTTTCATTGTAAAACACTGCTCAAAGAAAAAGCATGAACCGGACATTTTTTAAGGATTAGTAAGTTTAATTAGATAAGTTAATGCATTGGTTTGGTGAATGAGGACGATCGTGTTTGCATGCGAGTCACTATAGTAACCAATTTCTGACTGCATTTTTTGAAAGGCTCGTCCACACAGTGCGATTTTCAGCTAGATTTTTCACCAGAATCTATCAAGAAGCAAATTGAGTGTGTAGTTTAGTGCCCGATTCAAATGCTTCATTTTGTGAAATTCGGGTCGATATATGGAAATATGGAAATCTGTGACAGTGCGACACATTTTGTGAATCGGGTTGAATCCATTTGTCGAATCGGGATCTAAACTACACGCTCGATTTGCTTATCGATTGTGTCGGGCCGACAGTCCCGCTTTAGTCGCCCCTATGGACTAATTGCGATGGAGGGAGGATGGGGTACTGCTAAGCCGCATTCGTCGAAGTAGGGGTGGAGAGACGACGTATAGCTGAGAAATCAGGCAATAAGGAATTCTTAGAGTGCAACCACGTGACCGAAAAATCCATTGAGATATAAATAACAATGAAACAGCCGTTATCTTGGTTGATCTAAGAGAAGCTTAAAGTGTATATCAAGGAAATGTTTTTATCAAAATCGCTTACATGTGAACAGTGTAGTACAATGGTTGCAGTATTTTTGTATGTGGTCTTCTCTTTTCAGATATATAAACATTTGAAATATCAATATGCAAATGAGATGACGTAAATTCAAGAATGGATTACATTTTGAAGTGTGATTTACGACAAGTGTTCTGAAGTGAAATAACCTAAAAGTGTACAAAGCCATATATTTCAGTCATAAGGATGATTGGCAAATACCAAAAACAGCAGTACTTTCCACAAAAGCATTTTTGTATAATAAATTAGTCTTGAATTTACGTCATCTCATTTACATATTGATATTTCAAATGTTTATATCTGCGAAAAGAAAATTTGACGCACAAAAATATTGCAACCATACTACTACACTATTCACATATAAGTGACTTTGAAAATATAAAAAGTTTCCTCGATATACACTTTAATGAAGAATGTTTGCATAGTCAACCAACTCATGGCGGCTATGCCGTTACATGCACCCCAAGAATTCTGGTGGGAGCTTTGTTGCAAGTACACTGTACGCCACGAGCTCATAATTATGTTCAGACATTTTTTACGAGCACAAAGCAACATGAAAAAAAGGCAAAAAGAAGACAGGCGTTGCCCTAAAACAGCTGCTTATTTATACAGTTGTTTATAGTTGAAAATGAGGAGAATATAAAAAGTATAAAATAAACACATGAAAATACGACCGTCTCATTTCAGAAGATTTCACCCTTCGTGATGCGATGGTATATTGGACATTTTAAGCATTTTTTTGTTACCGTTACGCATATTACAATAAGACGACCTTTAGAATACGTGACCAACATCAGTACTACTTTATAGTGTTAGTAAACATTATTATTTCAATGTTTTTAAAGCGTTGGATTTAGAGTTTTTTAGGCTACTGCGCATGTGCGAGTAGCCGCTATTACTATCGTGTAGATTTTTCGATTGGCTACTGTTTTCATTGCTACGCGTTGATAGAGACAACAATCACAACATGGAGATCGGGCAATAGACCCCTTGGCTTAATTTGCAGGACATAACAATAGGTTACCAATTGAAAATAAATATTTAAAAAATCACTTTATTTAAGTGTCTAGTCGTTCTAGCGCTTTTCGCACTAATTGGGGACACTTTTCGCTCACACGCACTACCACTACATTTAATATTCTATGCACACAACGCTCAACTCACATGTTGATTTTTACGGAGGGAGGAAACCGGAGAACCCGGAGAAAACCCTCGTAGCATAGGAGAGAACAACACATCAAACAAACTCAATTCACATGTGACGACCGCAGGGCTCGAACCAGCGACCCGACCCGGTGGACTCAACAGCGGTGAAAGACGACGCGTTAGCCACGAACGCCACCCATGCTACCCATATTCCCATGTATTACCATGTTAGCCTCGCATTCAAGATATTTCTTGAAGAAAGAAATCACGCTTTTTCTCGACGAAATTAGAGGCATTTCTTTTGTATTTCCATGTAAGCCGCGCATTCCAGATATTTCTAAGAAGGGTGCATTAGACGCCTAATGTTATTAAACAAACTAATATAAAAAAAGTGCAGATATGATGATAATGATTTGTATGACGCCCTTTCTAATATATAATATATTTATAAGTCTTACCTCGTTCGTATTTCATCATGAACCCTTTAGCTTGGCCAGAAGAATCAGTAGAGAAGTAGACTCGAAGGAAGCGATCCGTTGATTGAAAACTCCACGGCAGAGATCGTCCAGTGGATCTTTCTGTATGATGCCCATCATCAATAACTAAGTTATCATTCGATGAGGCATGTAAGTCCATGTCTGTGACCTTCATTATGATCTTGTAGCCCTGCTGAACAAACACTGACCACTGACACTGGAGGTTATTACCATACAACTGTGTGGGATACCCGGGACTGCGAATGAAGCCTGTGTCGTGGTAGTAGTCATAGTAACCAAATGTTGTATTGACAGCGTCCAGGACACCATTACAACCTAGAGAGTGAAAACACAAAACTATAAACATGTGTTTCTTATTGCTATGAACATGTCACAGTACATATATAGAGGAAATTACATGGGCGCGCGGAGATACGAATTTTATCCTCGAGTGTTGAAAAGATCTCTCACGAGTGAGCGCAGCGAAAGAGTGAGAAATTTTCAACACGAGAAGATAAAATTCCTATCTCCAAGCGGCCATGTAATATTCTGTTTATTATATAATTATCAATGAAGTATGTTTTGGCTTTTTTAGGCAATTCTTCCCGTATATTTTTGAATAGCCATCGCAATGGTGTTATTTTCACACAATATCAATTTTTTGAAATAGAGAAAAATAGATATTTCATTGGTAATTATATAATAAGATATCTTTTTAGTGAAGCCAAGAAGGTATTTATATTTATAATATATACCTTTACTTTCTATATAGTTATAAGTACATAATTCAGCCAGGGACCGTAAATCGATCTCAATACGACCATCATTATCATCACCATCACCATCATTATTCATCAATACTATCATTATCATTTTCCCTGCTAGCAGAGCCTATTTTCCTTTTGTTTTGGTGGAGCGAGAAAAATAGACTCTGCCGATGTAGGACGTTATACTTGTCGCGCCTGCGTGGCGTAACTTAGCAACGCTGTCATGATTTTGACAGCCGCTATCGTCAAACAATGTTTGGCGCCACGGTGTGTAACATTTGCTCATGCGCACTACATGTACCCGGTTCAGTTTGTTCGTCCACGATCGTGGACGGCGGTGTATCAAAGGAAACGCTCTACATTGACAGAGTCTCCCTCCTCCACGCCTGAATTAAGAGAGAGTAAGAGGAGAGACTCTGCTAGCAGGGAAATTATCACTGTTTTCATCATTATATTTCTCTTTCCAGCTAAAGATCAAAGGAGTACTGGTAACGAATTCTAGGCACAAATGATTCCACACAGAATAGAACTCTTTATCTTCAGCGCAATGTTTTCCCATTTCAGACCACGTGTCATTCCCTAGAGTATCATTTCTTTGTTTAACGGTTGTACATGGGAAGACACATAAATATAGATACAACTCAAACAAATAATATTATTTTCAAAGAGATTGACACGTGGTCTGGAATGGGAAAATATTATACCCAAGGTATAATATCTCGGTATCTCGCGTCTCCTACAAATGCTTGTTAGGTGACTACCAGTCTACGTTATTGATATCAATCATCTCGTACCTCCTATTACATTCTGTATTATGGGAAGAGAGCTTGGAGAAAGTGTTGGTGTGGTAAGGGTGGTAGCTGGTGTCGTTGACATGCTTAAACCTAACAAATTAAGAAAGAAAAAAGATGTTAAAATACACTGATATAACAAAAAGCATCAAAAATCAGCCTCATTTATAAATTAATATCACCCAAACTGTAATTCATACCTACTCGAAAAAGCATTTTCCAACTGAACACAAAATCTGTAGCCTGCGTCGCATTCGAACTTTTTATTAATCTCGTACCCAGAGCTCTTATTTCTTACTTCTTATTTCTCTTCTTCTTATTTCTTATTTCTTACTAAAAAATCTACAAATCTACAAAGCTTTTCGCTGTTGTATCACAGCGTGGGACAATCACAACAGAGCTAGGCTCCAAACTAAGTGAAAGCCCAGAGATCGAATTAGAATTATGAAGTTGATTTTTGAGAAGGGAGGAAAACCGGAGAACCCGGAGAAAAACCCTCGAAGCACAGGAGAGAACCAACAAACAACTCTACTCACATACGACATCGACATACGACATCAAACCAGAATTTCATGGACTTCCGGTATAAGAGTGCATGGGTTCAAAGACTTAAAAATTAAAAAAAATGCTTTTTCTCTGTTAAGTCAGGATGCGACGTAGGATAAAAATCTGTTACTCAGCGCGTTTTTCAATAAAGTCCGCTGAGCTTCTTGATTGCAGACTCGAACAATGAAATAGAAGAAAAGAGACCGAAAGTGGCGTCAAAGAAAGAGAAAGCAAATACTCATACCTGACGAAACATAGCGTAACTTAAAACCTTTAGCATTAATACTGATATCAGCATAGAACTTGATCCACATGGTGTTAGAAGACGCCGTCAGAATCGAGCTCTTGTTCCCGCTAAAACCAAACCTTGGTGTCAACGGCTGGTTGTATATTCGTTTCCCATCACGTACTTCCAAGTAATCAAAATCTTTCTCTGAAAATATATTAATATTAATAATTTATGTAATAATGATAATAATAATAATAATAATAATAATAATGATAACAAATATTTATGACGAAAGACGTTATTGGTTTGCTGAGTGGCTGAGTTCCAAATTTCTGCTGTGTACCTTGATTGCAGACTAATATACTCAGGGTAAGCCTTGTATCAGTGTCTAAATATTCACAAATACCAACGGTAAAGTAAGAAAACACAGCTTCAGCAACACGTGAATGCTTTGCACAAAATTGAGGTTAACCCTGAGTAACAGAGAAACTGGGGTACTCAATCCAATGTTTTTAAAGAGGCTAACTAGTGTTCCCTGTAGATGGGTTGAATTTAGCCTCGTTCCCAGGCTACTCCGTCATCTTTCCCAAATCCAAAATGGCGGGCGCTCCAGAAGAGAGTAGCCTGTGGAAGAGGTTAAGTTGACAGACAACGTTTTGAATGAAATCTCGAATGAACAGAACCCTAAAGACAAATTATTTGCACCTCCGGTTGACGTCTTCGTCGTCGTGCAAATCTTTATGTCCCTATTGTTGCTAGGGAAAGCACTACAAGCACCAGTGAATAAAGGCGATTAAAAGGAGCAACTTTTTCTGCAACTTGTCTCGCAACAGCGTTGCGACACAAGTTGCAAGATTGTTTACACTTTACAACTGAGACTCAAATAAATAAATGAATTATACTTTTTGCAACTTATCTTGCAACTTTTTTTTTTTAAATTGCGCTGTAGGTTCCACGCCGCAATGCTCCATACAATTGCGAGACAAGTTGCAGAGAAAATTGGCCCTTGCAATTGCGCTTTAAGTCGACACGTAATTTACTTACCCGTTTGGAAGTCTATGAATTCTATTCGAGCCTTGGATCCTGGCATGAGATTTAGTACCCATACACAGTGAATTTTGTTTGGGTAATTGGATGGGTAAAGGGGGGACCATATGTAACCACTTTGGTGATCACCACTGAAGTAGTTAGGACTTGCTAAAGAACTCAGGAAACCGTAATTGCGTATGTAGCTTACTGACGAGCAGCCTGAAACAGGATAAAAGTTAAATTGTTTAAATTATTTGTGTGGAAAATAGTCTTATCAAAGAAGTTGTTGGAGGCAAGCGACCAATTAGGGTGGACGATAGCTCTAAATATTTTACATTATATTGTCATTTTGAGATATTCAATGCAGTTGGCAGAAGATAAGTCTTTTTCCTGCGAAAGATACGGAAGAAATCTTAAGTCCTCTAAGATATTGCTGTTTGCATTATTTGTCTATCCATGAGATACATGTCTGTAGCAGCAATTTGAAGCCCTTTCGTGATTTATAGATAAGACGAAAACTCCTAGTTTTTAGCTCGTAAAACCTTACTTTGTCTAACAGGTAGATATCCTGGTGCTGAGCTTGGTAGAATGGCTGGATCTGTGGTTAAAGTAAAATCAGAACAACTATTATTATCATGAAACAGCACAGAGATGATAATATACTCCATCACTCCTTGAAGGTGAAATCCTATTCCATACATGTACGACTTTGTGAATTTGTCCCTGCTACATGTGCGCGATATAAAAACCCGCTAAATGTTTAAACCTGAATGTGTAGAATAGGATTCTGCTGCTGCAACACGTCCCTGGGACATGTTCCTGCTTCAGGAACCCTAGTGTGCGAGCAACTTAAACCTCAGACACATGAGGTGCGTCTTTTGCAAGCAACAATGAAACAGCACTTCGTCTGAGTTCATCTCTGTAACGTTGCGCGCATCATGTTTCAAGCTGCAACGTTAAGAGCAATAGCAAAGATAACTGCATAAACATACATTAGTTATGTGACGTACGTACTTATTGTGACCCATTGTGACCAACACTTGGGGTGCTTATCATTTAAATTAATCCATCCGTTTGGAAGTTCGTTTGCTAGACTTCCGACAAGAAATGGTACGCGCGTCTATACCAGAAGAACCGAAAAGAGCGGGAAAAGTAGATTACCTCAATAGGAAGTGCTAGTTTTTCGGGTTTTTTAAATGTGAATGACACATAGTATTTGCTTTTCCAACCCGAATTTCCTGTTTTTCCGGGTAAATGGTAAGCACCCCTCAATATCCCTTTATCGTCACCCTCACTTCCTGCCTAAACCTCCCTCCCTCTCGTGGCTTGAAGATGATTTATAAGTAGCCATGCTTCTATACGTACTTGTGGTGTAAACAGATAATCGCCATGGGCCTCCACATGTCTTGCTTGGATCACCCGCACACGGCGAAGAGCATTCACTAGCAGACGCGTTACCATACTTGTCATACTGTAAACAAAACAATGGTCAATAAACAACGTATTGCAACCAGGAGTGTTGTGAATGAAATCATACTATACCAAACTATAGTTTCTTTCCTTCGTAATAATCAACATGTGAGTGGAGAGTTGTATGCGTAGAATATTAAATGTAGTGGTAGGTCCCAACATCAACATGTGAGTGGAGAGTTGTACGCATAGAATATTGAATGTAGTGGTAGATCTCTACATCAGCATGCGAGTGGAGAGTTGTACATATAGAATATTGAATGAAGTGTAGTGTGCGTGACAGTGGGCAAAGCTGGAAACCAGTATTTGTACGTATAGGAAATCGCACGATTTTCTTGTACAATTTGGAATTTATAGGTACGAGTGATGCAAGTTTTTAAGACTGAACGAGCCTTTTAGGCGAGTCCAATTTGAGAACTTTCAAAACACCACGAGTAATAATTACAGGAGTACAATTTAGGATTTAAATGTACTCCTCTTGTCAAATCAGAATCGGGTAATTTTGTTAAGTGTATCATAAAGACTGAAAGTAAATGATGGCTAAAAATTGAAAGAATTTTGAACTTTGGTCACAACAAACGAATTTTTTTCTGAATTCCCAATACAAATAAATATCCACAAATTTATGAATGATGTCTTAAATGTTACCCTATCAGTACCGACATGCTTTGCGAATTTTTATCATGTATTAAATTCCCTTCCTCTTTTCAAGAACAAACAAACCACCAGCAAAAAAAAACACATGGACTTACGTGGTTGCCACAGTAACACTCTGTAGACCACTCGAGGCCAAGATATGAGTAGCCTTTAGACTGGCAATATTGAAGGCATCTGACAGGGGTTAGATCTGGGGGTAAAATACAACCACATTGATTGATTAAATACGAGATGAGAATTGAAGGGAGCGGGAAAATAATTCAGTCAAAGGAAGGAGGCAAAGAAAGACTAAGGAAGAAACAAAGAGAAAAAAGGAGAAAAGTAAAAAGAAAGTCGCAAAAAACCCTATAAATCTAGGAAAAAAAGACAAAATAAAGGAAGGAAAGAAGTGCAGGAGACGAATAAGATCAAAGCTTACCCTTCATGGTACTTTTGTGACTCATCACCCGAGGATCGTTATCTTTATAACATCCAATGTAAGAATTATCTGAAAGCAAAATACTGAGTCAGTAAATAAGGTGAAAGAGGAACTTTTACAGTGATACCTCTATTAGGTGGACAACCTTTATTAGACTAGCAGGTAGTTGCACAGCAATTGTCGTCACACATGTATTGTAAAACGAACCTCTCTTTTCGGTAGACACCAGTCAAAATCCGACCAAGGGACTGGGCCCAAATTTTAAAATCCTGTTCAGTAAATGTTTTAGACAAAGTAACTCCATCACAAGAAAGAACAACATACAATAAGTGTGTTGGCCAAGTTTAGGATGTTTCGCCTTGTAGAAACAATGTTATTAGCATTGAAACACTGCCAAAGTTACAAAGACATGTATGGTGTCTAGCCAAAACGTCCAGCCACGCATACGTTCTCCCTGTAATTTTTAAATTGTCATAGTTTTGTTACAACTTGCCCAAACTAGATCAAATTTTCAATTCATAATTATATTACTATTTAATTCATACTTGTGTTATTTCTAGTGAAGAGATTTATTTTTAAATACATTTAATTTGAGAAACTTGAACTTCATTGACAATTCTTTTGTTAAGTTCCTCCAACATGGCTGCCGTGAAATCCATCAATAGGACACTATTATTAGCAAGACACAATTACCTCCACATATCAGCCCCACGTCTTCATCATGCGAACAAGGGCTGGTCGCCCATCTACCATGCCTACACTGAGTCAGCGATGTCTCGTTACCATAACATTGAAGATTATGGAGCCACACCTGTCCAGTACCTGGCCCAAAACTTTGGTACACTTTGACCACACTTGTGAATCCAAGCTCATTACAAACGACCTATAAACCATAAAAGGAGGATTTTAACAAGAGCGTCTCATTTTTATTACGAGGAGTAAATACATACTAGGTATCCTATCCTTTTTCTTAGTTATGTCCAAATTTTTTTATTAAAAAAATATATTTCAAAAAAATTATTTAGCCTCACATCCTCCTCCTACGAAACATTTTTACGAAACGAGTTTTTTACTTTGTGGAAAAACCAAAAATACCAAAGAATTTCTAATATTCTTTAATACTATCGGTACCCCCCACTGAAAACACATAGGCGTTACTCATAAACTGCGTAGCGATTGTGCAACCGGTCTAAGGTCGATTCCTGGACTCGGCATTACATGTAGAGCTTGTTAGGTCTCGTCTCCATTGATTTGAGGTTTCTCCGGGTTCTCTGGCTTTCCTCCCACTGCATGCTAAATTCCATTTCGATCTGTGAGTTACCCGCCTCCCCTGACTTAAAACAACCATGAGGTTGTTTCAGGGTTTAATCTGGGAGTTAACACTACTCTGACTTTGATCAGGCCAAAGGTTGTTTCAGGGTATCAATAAGTTGGGAAGAAGACTAAAGGGAACCTAGAACCCTCTAGGGGGTGCAGCCCTGTTACCATTCCAGCATGTTTACCTTTGCATCTTCCTTGGACCAATAATCCTCGCATACCGTGCCCCATTCACCACGATGGAAGATTTCCAAACGACCCTCTTTTTGCGATCTTCCACCAGTAAGTCGGATATCACCTTCTGAAGCACCGCTCCCTAAAGATTTTACCATCAAATTCAATTTAAAATTAAAAACATTAACTTATATAATTATTGCTAAAAAAGATGGGGGGAGGTTGGGAGG